TTATGTGTGGGTTATTTTGCTTGAGGGAGTCCCATATTTGCTGTATTTCTGCTTTGTTGGTTATTATTCTTTTTCTTTTTGCTCCACTGATTTGATAATTTCATATTGTTCTATCTTTGAGCTGACTGATTCTTTCCTCTGATTGATTGAGTCTACTATTGAAGCTTTCTATTGAGTTTTTCAGTTCAGATTATATATTCTCTATTTCTGGAATTTCTGTATGTGTGTGTTGTTTTTTTAATTGATTCAATTCCTTTGTTAATTTTCTCATTCTGCTCCTGAATTGTTTTCCAGATATCATTTAATTTTCTGTCTGTATTTTCTTGTGACTCCATGAACATCCTTAAGAGGGTTATTCTGAATTCTCTGTTAGACATTTCATAAATCCACTCTTCCTCTGGGTCCATTGCTGGTGTTTCATTTGTTTCCTCTGTTGCTGTCATATTTTTCTGTTCTTTCTGAGTCATTGTGTATTTATGTCGATGCCTGGGCATTTGAGGAGACTGCTACCTCTTCTAGGTTTTCTAGATATTCTTTGGTGGTATTAGGCCTTTGCTGGTTAATATCAGAGCTCTGTCTCTGGTCAGTGGTTTTGGTTAAATCTAAAATTGGGGGAACTTCCTGTGGGGAACACCACTTGAGCCCTGTGGTTGTGCTACGTTGCTGCTTTGCTGCTAATTCTCTGGGGAAGGCTTTTTGTGTGGGCCGGATTTTACTTGTTGGCCTTTTAATCACTTCTGAGTCTCGTGAGGTCAGATATACCTGGGCTGTGTGGAAATTCTGGCCCAGGACTGAGTCTTTCTAGCAAACTGTGATCCTGCAGTTCTATTACCCTGACCAGTCTCCACTGAGTGGGCCTGTGCTGATTGGAAGGCATATCAGCTACCCACTTTGCACCACAATGTTCTCCTGGTGGGCCAGCCTCCCTCCCACAATCTAAACAAACACTTCTTGTGGGGTGGACTGTGCACAGGTCCCTCAGTTTCTTTGGTTGGCTGTGGCCCTCGCTCCTATGTGGATCCATAGGAACCCTGTCAGTGGTCTTGCTGCTCTGGGGGTTGGTAGGGTGCACTCCAAGGCCCTCTTCTCCCCTGCAGACTCCAGGCAACTTCACACAAAGGGCTCAGCTGCGGCGTTTGCAGGCTCCTACTCTGTGTGTGCTGCAGCTTCTTCCCGCCTCTCACAGGCTGGCCCTGAAATGGCAAGGGTTTGATTTGCTAATATTTTATTGAGGATAAAAAGCGGTTTCTTCTTTCTCTTGCAACAGCTTCTCCTGCCTTCACTAATTCTGCAGGTCTCTTCTCCTCTCCCCTAAGATACAGCATTCTCAGGTTGGTAGTCTTTGCTTTTTACTAGTTGTAAATTGGTCGATTGTTGGGAAGACTGATGCTGGGGACCATCTATTCTACCATCTTGATGATGTGCTCTCCAGACAGTTCTTACATACCTTTCATCTCCCACTTGGTCATGGTCTATAATTCTTTTTATACATTGTTGGATTTGATTTGCTAATATTTAATTGAGGATACATTGTTGCTACTATTACTTTGAACAAATTTTATATATTAGATCAATTAAGAATAGGAAAAATTGCTCTTTTCTGAGGCACCATGAGTAGCAAAGTTTCTTCCACACCCTGTATGCCCTGCAGGGAATCAGCACAAGTGTTGGAAGTTTTTGGAAACGGTGGAGCTGCAGATCAGCTTGAAGAACTATGAACCTCAAAAGGACAAACGCTTCTCAGGCATCATCAGGCTTAACTATACTCCCTGCCCCAAGTTCTCTGTGTGTCCTGGGGGACCAGCAGCACTGTGACAAGGCCAAGACTGTGGATATTCCCCACATGGTCATTGAGGCACTGAAGAAACTCAAAAAGGGTAAGAGTCTGGTCAAGAAGCTCATCAAGAAGTCATGCCGTTTTGGCCTCAGAGTCTCTGATCAAGCAGATGCCATGAAGCTTGGGCCCAGGCCTAAATAAGGCTGGCAAGTTCCCTTCTCTGCTGACACACAACAAAAACGTGGTGGCCAAAGTAGATGAGGTGAAGTCCACAATCAAGATCCATTCGAAGGGGGTATTATGTCTGGACGTTACTGTTGGCCATGTGAAGATGACAGATGATGAGCTTATGCACAATATCCACCTGGTTGTCAATTTCCTGGTGTCCTCACTGAAGAACTGGCAGAATGTCCAGTTTTTATACATCAAGAGCACCATGGGCAAGCCCCATTGCCTGTATTAAGGCACATCTGATCAATCCTAGTGCTACCATCACAAACAAAGAAAAGAACAGGAGAAATTTTAAAATGTCTTTACCTTAATTTATGACATTTTCTGATGCTCTTCCTTTCACTATGCAGATCCTAGTTTCTGACCCATATCATTTTTCTTCTCTCTAAACAACTTTTAGCATTTCTTGCATGGCAGGTGTCCTGGCCATAAACTCCTTCCATTTTTGTTTGTCTGAGAAAGCCTTTATTTCTTCTTCATTTTTGAAGAAAAATTCTGGTATATACAGAATTCTAGGCTTGTGGAAATTTTTCTTTCAAAATTGTAAATATTTTTTTTCAAAACTCCACTCTCATCTTGCTTACATGATTTCTGAAAAGAAGTCCAATGTCATTTTTATCCTTATTCCTCTAAAAGTAAGATGGTTTTTCCTCTGGCTTCTTTCAAGATTTTCTCTTTGTCTTTGGTTTTCTGCAGTTTGAATATGATATGCCCAGGAGTACATTTTTTTGGTATTTGTTCTGTTTGGTGTTCTCTGAGATTCCTGGATATGTGATTCAGTGTCTGTCATTAATTTAGTGAAATTCTCAGCCATTATTACTTCAAGTATTTCTTCTATTGCTTTCTTTCCTCTTCTTCTGGTATATTCCTGTTATGCCTGTGTTGCACTTTTTGTAATTATTCCACAGTTCTTGGACATTCTGTTATGATTTTTCCCCTTTGCATTTGAGTTTGGGAAGTTTCTATTGACATATCTTTAAGTTCACTGATTCTTTCCTCAGCCATGTTCAGTCTACTGATAAACTCATCAAACGAATTCTTCATTTTTGCTAGTATTTTTGATTTCTAGGATTTCTTTTTGATTCCTTCTTAGAATTTCCATGTCTCTGCTTACGTTACCCATCTGTTTTCTACTTTTTCCATTAGAGCCCTTAACATATTAATCATAGTTATTTTAAATTCCCTATCTGATAATTCCAAAATCTGTGTGATATCTGAATCTAGTTCTTTTTTTTTTTTTTTCTTTTTTTGTCTTTTTTCGTGTCCGGCAACGGATCGCAACCCTCAGTGTCGCGCCTGCACCGGACTGGGACTGGCAACGGGATCGCAACCCTCGGCGTTGCTCCCGCCCGGCAATGGATCGCAACCCTCAGTGTCGCGCCCGTACCGGACCGGGACCGGCAACGGGATCGCGGCCCTCGGTGTCGCACCCGCACCTCGCTCAGCCAGTGAGCGGGAACCGGTCTGC